CTTCCGATCTTATATAGTTATGTGAAGAGCCAATATTTGGCCAAGATCAGATTGCCTTTCTACAAAATTCCCTCCGTGACAAGTAGACTTTGGTCAATTACAAGGAAATTTTCACTGTATGGGATTCAGAGCACTTAGAAACGTGGTACTGTCCTACCTGAGAATCGCTGCATTCGATTGTCGTCTGTTGGTAAGACTGGTGTACAGTGGAAGATGGATCCGGATAACTTGACCCCTCCATCTTCTCGCAGTAATCGCGAAGCAGCTGACTTAACGCGTTCGAATGACTATCGTTCGGTTCGTCTACATCTTCCGATTTCAGCAAATTGGAGCAGTCCAAATCGAAAGGAGAATTTCGAGAGACTGCTAACATATTGATAATAGCATCCAGTTCTTCGACAGACTGAAGTTTTCCCGTCCGATTGATTGTCGTATTTGGCGTTGTTATTGACTGTGACATTTACAGAGGCTGGAAAACAAGTAGACTCTGGTTTAGGTCGGATGATATGAAAGGGAAACCGAGTGCCAACTACGATCTAAGCTGTTGAAAACAGTAGAAGAAGGCCTGATAGTGAGCATTCCATATATCTAAACTAATAGGCACACCAATTCTTCAACCGTAATGTGTCGGTCGCAGAAATTTGGAGGCATCCAGGACACAGGTTTTTCTTGATTTTGAGCTGGGAAAAGTCAACCACACGATGTGCCAACTCTAGTCAATTTCTTGTGAAATCCATACCCTTTACCACAGAGCTGTGTGACGGACGGAGTAATCCGGATATCTCGAAGGGAAACGGCCGCCAGTCTCGTATTCTGAGCTTACTAAATAGTGGCTTTCAGACCGCAGAAACACCCAACCGACAACCTGTGCACACCACGAAAGGATATGAATTCACAAGAAGCACGCAGTAGCTGAGTGCAACTTGATACCACGTCCTTCCTGAATGATCATACAAGTACGAGATCAAGATTGTCCGGTGTGAAAGCCAAGGATGGAGAGGGAGTCCATCTCCAACATTCAAACTGCTCGTGCTTGGTCGAGCAACTTTGTGGCATTTCAGCCATACGAATACAGATCTAAAAGATCAAACCACTCAGCTGTGGCACCATTTTGGTGCATGATTGCCAAGTTACTCAGGCCTGGAAAGGAGCAACCGGAAAACCAGAGTTGGTTCCGAATTATGGACCTGGAGTCAGTAAGTTTGTGAATTCACTACTCAACTATGCCTATACATTGTGTACCGGAAGAATCACGAACAAACAAGCCAATTGTTGCGCAGACTACTGCACTGCTAATTGGGGAAACATTGATCAACCGAGGGGCATTCCTCCCTTCGGGGATGGCGTGGGAGTTGGATGATGGTATCTGGAAGTTCGGCCTTTTGTATGAACTTGCTATCACAGAGTAACTCCGACATACCTTCGCCAGTTGTTTTTTAAAAAATAGGTTCCGGTTTCAAAAGAACAAACGAAGTCAAGCCAGAAATGGCAAGTATCTCAAGCATGGATCCGCGATTCTTGGAACTTGCACAAAATTACCACAAATTTCTCATTAACAGACAGTTGTCTCAACGTGGGAAACATCGCTGGGCTCCTCCTCAGTTCCACCCTGGTTCTGGATCCTGTTATGTCTGACTGCTGTTCCCGCTTCAGCACTTAGAGCCCATACGGAACAGAGCGGCTTCATTGCGAACAAGTGAGTGCGTGTATGTATTGCGAAAATACGACGGCCTCAGGCTATTTTATTGGAGGCGCACTGTCTGACCTTGGTCCAACGCTGTCTGTCGCGCGCTACATGTTGAGGGGGCGTTGTTTGTCTGGTCAGCATTTGGTGCAGTTGAGGATCTCGGTAGACTTCGGGCATTCAGTGGTTACTTTCAGGAATCTGACCATCCTGACAGATCCCATTCATAAAACACTGATAAAAGAATATTTCTGCATTTGCTATAGGGGAGAATGTTGTTAGCTCAGGTAGTGTAGATGGTCGTTGGTTTGCTCATTGAGTTTGGCGCTCTGATTGCAAACGTTTCATCGCCAATCGCGGTGGCATCATCAGTGCGTTGTTAGGGAGCGTGGCGATGGGTCGGTGGTTGGGCACAAATACCGGCCCATCTCTACGTTCCACTACGTGTCTTAACAATGCCCTGATGATGTCACCTCAGCGAAACGTTTGCAATCAAATTGCCCAGCTCAGCGAACAGGCCAAAGACCATTTACTGTATTTACTACCCAAGACTGTTTTCTTTCCAGTTGAAGCATTCTGTTTGGACCAATAAAACCTGAAGGATAAATGACCTCTTACGGTGTACTGAAGCGAGTGCCCAGGGCAAAATGGATTGAGGACCAATGAATTGAGGTTACGGAGGTGGGCTGACATTACCAGACCTTGGTGAACAATATATCTGCAGGGGCGGAAATTAACCGTTACAACGGGCCGACCCATATCGAAGACTTGGTCATTCGTGTTCTTGCCAAATTAGTATGTTGGCAACAGTGAAGACGTTGAGTCACCAAGTCAGGCTTTAGAGAGTAGAAAAACAATGATGGGAAGTCATATCTCCAAACGAGTGTACCTGAGCAACAAGGAACCTAGGATAATAGGACTGGAAACACAAACAAACTAGACTTATGTAGACAACAGGGAATATATATATATATATATAATATATATATATATAT